TTGCACCAAAATGGAGATCATTAGATATTCAATAGTCCATCCACACTTACTGTAGAATTATATGTTACCTTGCAGATAATGCCATCTGTCTTGTGACAGAACCAAAATATGTATGTAATATAGAGCCAGATTTTTTTAAATTACTGTGTGAGCAGGGCATTGGTCACTCATGCCTGTAATCCTAGCTACTCAGGAGACTGAGATCCAGAGGATCACAATTTGAGGCCAGTATGTGCGGAAAAGTCCAGGCTGCAGGCATGGCTCAACCGGTAATGAAATGAAACGATCTAGGTGCGGATCAGGTCCTTTTTACTGCCCTCTAAAGAATAAAATGGCAGGAGAGTGTTTAAGGTAAACACAGTAAGTTTATTAAAAGGTGAAAAAAGAGCTATGAAAGAAAGTAGGAAGAATTAGCAGACTCCCTGTGTAGAGAAGAGGTCTCTCTGTCACCTAGTGAGGGAAAATCCCAGTCTTTTTTATCTGTTCCCCCCCTAGATATTTGGGCCTTAGTCCCTTCTCTCTTGGAGGATGTATCTTTGGTTTGGTTTGTGAAGCAGTGTCACTCACTGCCAAAGCCCTTTCGGATTGGATGTAAGTTTATGACTGATCAGATCCCTCCCATCCTGAGCAACAGTGGGAGGACTTGTGCTCTACTTTAGTATCTGGTCTACACACCTGTGCTGGGACTTGGAACTTACTGCCCTGGGTTGGAACAAGAACGGTGACGTATTATCTTTCCTTGTTTCCCCACCACATGGGCCTTTGTCCCAGCTGCCTTTCTATCCCTAACTGCCTGGCTAGGGTGGAATACCTGTTCCTTAGTGAGGTTCCAGTAGAATGCCAACAAGTACAAGGCCCTGAGTTCAAACCTGTATAAAAATAAAAACCTTACTGTATCATTTCAATGGACACCCAATCTTACCTTTGGGAGAAGGGATTATAGGTGATCAATTTCTTCTCTTTTAATCTTTTTTTCTGTGTTTTCAAATTTTCTCTGTTGTATATTTATAATTAAGTACGTGCACTAAAATCTTTTGAAGTTTCTATTTTTTTAATGTTCAATTTTTATTGTTATTGTAAAGGTGATGTACAGAGGAATTACAGTTATATAAGGTAATAAGTACATTTCTTTTTCTTTTCTCTCTCTCTCTCTCTTTTGTTGGTCATGGGACTTGAACTCTAGGCCTGGGCGCTGTCCCTCAGCTGTACAGCTCAAGGCTAGTCCTCTACCACTTGAACCACAGTGCAACTACTGGTTTTCTGGTGGTTAATTGGAGATAAGAGTCTCACACACTTTCCTGCCTGGGCTGACTGTGAGCTGTGATCCTCAGATCTCAGCCTCCTGAGTAGCTAGGATTACATGCTTGAGCCATCAGCACCCGGCTGCACACACACACACACACACACACACACACACACACACACACAATTTTTTTTTTGTTGGTCGTGGGGCCTGAATTCTGGCCCTGGGTGTTGTCCCTCAGCTCTTCAGCTCAAGGCTAGAGCTCTACCACTTGAGCCACAGCGCCACTTTTTCTGTTTATGTGGTGCTGAGGAATTGAACCCAGGGCCTCATGCAAGTAAGGCAAGTGCTCTACCACTGAGCCACCTTCCCAGCCCCATATGTTTCTTTTTGAACAATGAGACCCCTTCTCTTGCATAAAATGTTCTTCTAAAAATAAAAGTAATAACCATCACTTATTAAAATCTCATTATATCAGATTTTGGTCAAGCATTTAAAATCCATATACTTTTATTTTCCTCTTGTTCCCATTTCCTGGAGTTATTTGATATGATCAGAGACTTATAGGTATTGCACCTTTGTCTTCCTCCCCTAAGAGAATCCTCCTTTGGTCTCATTATGTGTGAATGCCTAGACTCTTGCCTATTTTACCGTGGCCCGGTGAATATACACTTACTTTTAAAACATGTTTTAAGTAGTTGGACGAAGGACTTCCTCCTTAACAAAGCAGTGTATGAGTACAGTGCTTCTTGATGTCTGTCTCCCCTTGCAACAGTCTCTCCCATCTCTCAGCACAGAAAAAAAAAATCTTAAGAGGAACACAGAAAGAACAGTGAAAGCGAAAGCCAGAGTCAGATCTCCATGAGCCCAGCGGAAAGAGAAGAAAGAGAAGGGTGGAGGACCGGCTCCAGTTCTGCCACCTACCTAGCCAGGCATATCGGACGGTCTGGGTGGCCTGGGGAAGTCCCTGTCTCTCTTTCTCTGCGTCTCTCTTTTCCCCTCCCAGCCACAGAAAGTGGGGGGAACTGGGCTGGTTCAGGCTCCCTGGAAAAGCGGGTCGGGGACCTGCGGGGCGGGGGGGGGGGGTCCCCGCGGGTGGGTGCACGCGCGCCCAGGGGCGCACGCAAGGCCTGGCTCCCAGAGCCTGGCAGCGTGGAGGCCGGGCCTGCGCGGGCCCTCGGTGGGCAGAACGCATGCCAACCTCGAACGCGCCCTTGAACCTGAACGTGATCCTGCCGCAGGTCAGCAGGCTTTCCTCTTCCCTCCTGCTCCGGGCCCTGCGGGACCCTCTCCTCGTCCCCTTCCTTTCCCACTCCCTTGGCGCCAGATGGGCCAAGAGGACACAGACCTCCCAACTCTTCCCTGGTAATTTGAATCCATGTCTTGCCCACCCTGACTACCGCCTGGAAGCCGGGGCACCCGCCCTCTCCTGGCAAAAAGGGATGAAATGGACACTTCCAGAGTCCCTAAATCCAGACGTTCGCACGGTGTAGGCACCAGTACAGGATGAACTGTTTTAAGAAAAGTTGCCATGTTAGGGAGGAAACTCAAAGCTAGCGGTGTGGAAATCAAAGATAAGGTTCCTGATCTCTCTCTCTCTCCCCCCCCCCCCTTCCTTCCTATTTATTTTTTGTCAGTGGTGGCTCTTGACCTCATGTCCTGGTGCTATCCCAGAGCTCTTTTTGCTCAAACCTAGCTCTCTACCACTTTGAGCCACAGCTCCACTTTGGTTTTCTGGTGGTTAATTGGAGATAAGAGTCTCAAGGACTTTCTTGCCCCTGCTGGCTTCTAACTGTGATCCTCAGATCTCCGCCTCAAGGAGCCACCAGTGCTCAGCTCCTGTGCTTGCTTGTGGTGTCCCCTGTGGAGGCCCAGCCTCTGTGGACCCCAAGCCCTCTTCCACAATGGGGATCAAACGACTGCAGTGAATTTACAGTCAGAAGGACTGCAACCTGGAAAGCTCAGGGCATCTGTGAGCAGTGAGCTTCCTATCTGCATCTGGAGGCCATGCACAGAGACTAGCAACAGCCTTGGTGTGGCCTAAAAGCGAAGTTTGCCATCCGTGGTCTGTGACCACCTCTCCTGCCTCTTTACCCTCTCTTCGCTCACCCTTCACCTCCCGTTTTCCTCTGCCTTCCTCTGAATTCTTCCTTCCAGACCCAGGTCTCTTGATTGCAAGGTTGTATCTGTCCCAGCATGGAACAGAGCCCTGAGTAGAATGGAAACCAGGTACCTCTAACAGGTTTACTGGGGAGAGAGAATGTACCAGGTGAGCATTGATGTCTCAAGGCTGCAGATTCAGCTGAAGCCTTGCTTTCCTGAATGAGTTCTTTGTCCTTCTCCCTGAAAGGGAGGGCTGGGGAGTGCTAGGGGTCAGGGGCAGGCAGATGGAATTCCATTTTTGCTGTTGAGTGAGCAAAAGCCTCCTGTGAGCTAGCAAGGGCAGAGTTCAAATCCTGGCTAGAGAAGAGCCACTTCTGCTCATCTAGGAACTTTATATACTGTTTAAAGTTCACTTCCTAATTTTCATGTGCTATTTACATTTTATAGCACTTGTGTTTTTTTTTTTGTTGTTGTTGCTGTTGTTAAAATCACTTGTTTTCAGAGTTATAGGAGGAATAAACAGACTCTTCATCCTGGACATTGCTTGATTCTGTTGTGTGTGTGTGTGTGTGTGTGTGTGTGTGAGACCCAGTACAGGGGGCTTGATCTTAGCCTGGGCACTATCCCTTCACTTTTTCAACCAAGGCTGGTGCTCTACTACTTGAGCCACAGCTCTACTTCTAATCCTCCTCCTCCTCCTCCTCCTCCTCCTGCTCCTCCTCCTCCTCCTGCTCCTCCTCCTCCTCCTCCTCCTCCTCTTCTTTCTCCTCCTCCTCCTCTTCCTCCTCCTCCTCCTCCTCCTCCTCTTTTTTGGTGGGGGATTAATTGGAGGTAATAGTCTCATGGACTCATCCAGCATCATCATGTTGTAAAGTAAGGCCAGTGAGGACTTTGGAGAGAAAGTACTATTTGACAGAGACCCACAATTTGTGACGGAATGAGCCAGATCAGAGCATCCATGATAGGAGGATCAGAGAATTCTTTACCCTGTTTTTTTTTTTTTTTTTTAACCTCACAACACATGTTTTTGGAGATCATACCCTATTATGCTAGAATCAGTGTAAGCCCAATAAGCTCCCTTCTGATGTCTTAGCATGCTTCTTCCCCTTTCCAGAGCTTAGCATGCTTGCTCCTTTCCTAGGCAACACTAGGCCCATGTAGTTAAAGGCAGTAATCAGCCTCCAACACCCCTTTTACATTGAGATGGCACTCCTCTGGGGCATCTACCACCCTATAAGACAACAAGATCCCCTTAAAGTGACCTTCAGGTTTGGGCAGCTGCAGGGCCCCTTATCTACTTCTTGGGCAGCAGCCATAAATCCTAATCTAGCATGATGAAGCCCCTGGTCCTCAGGCCCACACCAGGGTCTCTGCCTCCTAGCTCCTTCTAACCCCTGCTAGCCTCAGTAGGTTATATAGGTCACCTCAGACAATAGCTGGCACTTCTTCTCCTTCTCCCTTGTGAGAAGGGGTTTTGATGGTCTCTTTACTGGCAATCCACCTTTTGTTGTTGTTGTTGTTCTTTGTACCTGGATGTCTGCATGGTTTTCTGGCAAAGACTAATTTACTCTAACAATCAACGCATCTGAGTTGGTAGCCTCTGGGTGGCCCCTTCTTCTCCCACCTGTTCATCCTGGTTCCATCTGTCCCTCATCAGATTAGCCAGCATGCTGTGCTTCCTGGTGCCCCGGCTGCTGTGTGTCCAGGGCAGGACAGCCTCATACTCTTCTGCAGCATCCCTCCCAAGACCCATTTTGAACCCCGACATCTGCCATAACCAGCTGTTCATCAACAAAGAGTGGCAAGATGCAGTCAGCAAGAAGACCTTCCCCATGATAAATCCCACCATGGGAGAGGTCATTGGGCTTGTGGCTGAAGGAGACCAAGCTGATGTGGACCGAGCTGTGACCGCAGCCCGGGAAGCCTTCCACTTGGGGTCTCCATGGCTCAGGATGGACACTTCTGAGTGGAGCTGGTTATTGAACCACCTGGCTGACCTAGTGCAGTGTCTGACCTAGTGCTGACCAAGTGTCTACTTGGCCTCACTGGAGATCTTGGACAATGGGAATCCTTTCCAGGCATCTTATGCCTTAGACCCGGATGAGCTCAACGAGGTTTACTGCTACTTTGCCGGCTGGGCTGACAAGTGGCATGGCAAAACCATTCCCATGAATGGTGAGCATTTCTGTTTTACCCAGCATGAGCTGGTGGGTATCTGTGGCCCGATAATCCCCTGGAACTTCCCCGTGGTCATGCAGGACTGGAAGCCGCCCCTGTGCTTGCCACAGGCAACACTGTGGTCATGAAGGTGGCAGAGCAGACTCCACTTTCTACCCTGTTGCCTCCCTCAGCAAGGAGGCAGGCTTTCCTCCCAGGATGGTAAACATCATCACAGGCTACGGCCTCACCGCAGGAGCGGGCATCGTCCAGCACATGGAGATTGATAAAGTTGCCTTCACTGGCTCCACCGAGGTGGGCCACCTGATTCAGAAGGCCGCTGGTGAGTCCAATCTTAGGAGAGTCACACTGGAGCTGGGTGGGAAGAGCCCCAGCATCGTGTTGGCTGATGCTGACATAGGTCATCCCATGGACCAGTGTCACGAAGCCCTCTTCTTCAACGTGGGCTAGTGCTGTTGTGCAGGTCCCTGGACCTTCGTGGAAGAATCCATCTATGATGAGCTGCTTGAGAGAACTGTGGAGAAAGCCAACCAGAGAAAACTTGGGAACCCCTTTGAGCTAGATCCCCAGCAGGAGCCCCAGGTCAACAAGGAACAGTTTGAACGAATCCTGGGCTATGGCCAGCTTGGCCAGAAGGAAAGGGCCAAACTTCTCTGTGCATGGTGGGGGGAGCATTTTGGGGTGCATGGCTTCTTCATCAAGCCCACAGTCTTTGGGGGTGTACAGGATGACATGAGGATTTCTCAGGAGGAGATCTTTGGGCCCGTGCAGCCATTGTTCAAGTTTAAGAAGATCAAGGAGATCACTGAGAGGGCCAACACCACTGAGAGGGCTGGCTGCAGCTGTGTTCACTGGGAACCTGGACAAAGCCATATACTTCACCCAGGCTCTCCAAGCTGGCTCTCCAAGGTGGGTGAACACCTACCACATCGTCACCTGCCACAGGCCATTTTGGAGGCTTTAAGGAATCTGGTAATGGGAGGGAGCTGGGGGAGGACGGGCTGAGAGCCTACATGGAGGTGAGGATGGTCACTGCCAAGGTTCCTCAGAAGAACTCATGAGAATGGCCCCTGTGGATGATCAGTGACTCCACAGCCTCTAGAACAGAGGAGGCCGAACTTCTAAAAAAATAATCTTTTTTCTCTTTTTTTTTCTTTTTTAGCTATGTATCCTTTTTATTTGCTTCAAAGGGAATCCTAGCAAATCAGAGCTATTCTACTTACAGCAGGAATAGAGCTGGGCTCAGAGTTCTTCACCCATCATGAAACCTTGAAGTCTCTGGAGGACTGATTAACCCCATTGACTATTCAGACACAAAAAGGAACGAAGGACCTATACATGCTACCATAGGAGTAAACCTTGAAAATGTCGAGCCAATGTACTAGGCCATATTTTGTGTGATTCCATTCCCTCCCTCCCTCCCTGCCTGGCTGCCTGCCTGCCTGCCTTCTCCCCCCACCCCTGTCAGTGGTGGGGCTTGAACTCTGGGCGTGGGTGCTGTCCCTCAGCTCTTCAGCTCAAGGCTAGCACTCTGGGGCTGGGAAGGTGGTTCAGTGGTAGAGTGCTGGCCTTGCATGCCTGAGGCCCTGGGTTTGATTCCTCAGCACCACATAAGCAAAAAGAAAAAAAAAGCCGGAAGTGGCACTGTGGCTCAAGTGGTAGAGCACTAGCCTTCAGCTGAAGAGCTGAGGGACAGCGCCCAGGCCCAGAGTTCAGGCCCCACGACCAGACCCCCCCCCCCAAAAAAGCTAGCATTCTACCACTTGAGCCACAGCACCACTTCCAGTTTTTTGAGTGGTTTATTGGAGATAAGAGTCTCATGGACTTTCCTGCCTGGGCTGGCTTTGAACCGTGATCCTCAGATCTCAGCCTCCTGACTAGCTAGGATTATAGGTGTGAGCCATATCTATGATACACATTTAGAAATTAGAGTTGAGGTTGTCTGGAGGGAGAAGGGGGTGGGGAAACTACTTATGGTGTGGGATTTCTTTGGGGAAGATTAAAAAAATGTTCTGTAATTTGTCAGTGGCAATGTTGTACAACTTGGCAAATGTACTAAAAAGTACTGAATGGTATACTTTGTGGTATGGTGAATTCATTTAAAAATTAGTATAAGCTGGGCATTAGTGACTAACACTTAAAATTCTAGCTAGTCAGGAGGCTGAAAATCTGAGGATCATGGTTTGAAGTCAGCTCAGCCAGGGTAGTAGTCTGTCAGTAGTCTGTCAGATTCTTTTTAAAATTTTTAGTTTTCTTTTAAAAAAGTCTATATCCTTTTTTAAAAAACATTATCTTTAAATAGTTGTATAAAGGAGTTGCCATGTAATAAAGCAGCTTATGAATACAGTGCATCTTGATCAATGTCATGCGTTTCAACGTTCTTGCCCCATTTGACATGCCTCTCCTCTTACTTTTCTGTTTTGTACTATATACAACAAATTTGTGACTGCATCCCCTTTCTTCTCCCCTTCATTAGTCTACCCTTTTCCCATTGTCTACCTTACAAGTAGCCATTTCTTGGTGTTTTTATTTTTGTTGTTGTTGTTGTTGGGCTTTGTCTTTGTTTGAGAAATTGCATTATTTGAGTTCTCCTAGAGTCCATGATATTTCAGTTAATACATTTGCAACCTCTTGGATACCACCCAATGTGTTTATTTATGGATTTATAGGCAAATTCTAGCTACCCCAAGTGAGGGAAACCATGCAAACTTTGTTTTTCTGGGTCTGACTTGCTTAATTTTTTCCAAGTCTTTCCATTTCCTTATAGAGATCCTTGTCTCTCATTAACCAGAAAAAAGCTGGACTGGATCTGTGGCTCAAATGGTAGAGTGCCAGCCTTGAGCTGAAGAGCTCAGGGATAGTGTTCAAGCCCTAAGACCAGCATAAAATAAAATAGAATAAAACGGTGTGGTATTTGCATAGAATCTACAACATCTAACTGTAAACCTTAGATCATCACTAGATTACTTATCTCTAATACAATGTAAGTGCTTCATAAATAGTTCTTAGGTTATACTGTTTAGTGAATGAAGAAGTCTGCACATTTTCAATACAGATGTCATTTTTCTTCCCTAATCTTTTCCATCCATGGTTGGCTGAATGACCTTCAAATATGGAGGCTGAGAGTATTAGGTGAGGTGGTTTAGGGAATGGATGGTGGAGAAAGTCCTGCTGGGAAGATGAGTAGTAATATGGTGTGCATTAAGTGCTCACAGATGGTCTCACTGAAGACTTAGAAAACACAAGAGGCTGGAGCTCCCTGGGGGCTCAAAAGACACTAGCAACCAAGTTGTTGGGGGAAGCAGTAAGGAGCAGAGAGAAGACTGAAATATGGCAGGGCTGGAGTAGATGGTTAGATTGAAGCAGGCCACTATATACAGGGATTAGGGCTTCACCACAAGATTCTGAGAAGAGGACAGGTGATCTGCTTTGGACTGTGAAAGGATCCTTGGGGCTGCTGTGTTGAGACCCAATTATAAGGAGGGCAAGGAGAGCTTGATCTTGAGAATGCCAATATTGAGGGGGAGGGGTGAGTAGAATTTCTATGAAGAGGCAAAAAAACCCCAACCCAACAACAACAAAAAAAAACAAAAAACAAGGGCTGGGAAGGTGGCTCAGTGGTAGAGCACTTGCCTTGCAGGCCTGAGGCCCTGGATCTGATTCCTTAGCACCATATAAGCAAAAAGAAAAAAACCCGAAGTGGCGCTGTGGCTCAAGTGGTAGAGGCTAGCCTTGAGCTGAAGAGCTGAGGGACAGTGCCCAGGCCCACAGTTCAGGCCCCACGACCGGACCAAAAACAAACAAACAAAAAACATCTGGAGGAGCCTGTGGCAGCCAAAGCAGGCAGGCTTCCCAGAGGGAGAGATCTGCCTTTAGAATCTCATGCTCCCAAAGACTGAATAAAAGGAGCACTGGATATCCTATATGCTTAAACCTATACAGCTTAAAACTCCTGCCTAGGGCTAGACTTATAATCCTAGCTACTTATGAAGCTGAGATCTGAGGATTGGGGATCAAAGTCACCCAAGCAGGGAAGTCCATGAGACTCTTTTCTCGAATTAACCACCAGAAAACTAGAAGTGGAGCTGTGGCTCAAAGTGATAGAGCTCTATCTAGCCTTGAGTGAAAAAGCTCAGGGAACAAACAAGGCCATGCTAAAGCTACCAGCACAACTATGTTTATCGCAGCATTATTCACCATAGTTAAGATACGGAACCAACCCAGATGCCCTCAGTAGATGAATGGATCAAGATAATGTGATACAATGGAATTCTATGCCTCCATTAGAAAGAATGTCACCGCCCCATTTGTTAGGAAAGGAAAGACTTGGAAAAAATTATATTAAGTGAAGTAAGCTAGACCCAAAGAAACATAGGTCCCATGGTTTCCCTTATCTGCCATAGCTAGTTTACATCTAGGATAATCTTACCAGACAAGCAGAAAAGGTCAAAAACTATGTAAATATGACCATATAAGATGATGCTAAGCAAAATGAACCCCAAGATAGGGACACAAGAGGTTTTTTCTTTGTGGCTGTTGTTTTTAATGTACTATGTGATTTTTTTTCTTTCTTTTGTAGTATAAGGTCCGCTCCTGGATGGCCAGCAGACTCCACCCTCCTCCCAGCAAAGTCTCCACCCAGTACCTGCGTTACCTAGGCAACTGGGACACCTGGAAGAGGTCACATCTGCATCCGCTGAGGTCACATCTGAATTTGATGTGGCCACACCTTTCTCTGCCCATATCCTACATAAGGCCTAGCCCAGGCCCAGACGCTCTCTTTCCCAGGTCTTTCCCAGGCCTTTCCCAGCCGTGTGGAGTGCCAACTGGGCCTAGTGCCAGCTGGAACGATGAATAAACCTACCCCTTACCTGAATACCACATGCGTGGTGTGGTTCTTACTCGGCTACCTCTTTTTAAAAACCTAACATGTATGTTCTTCCCCCATGGTAGAACCCCTGTTTTCACTGTATTTGATTCTGGTGCCCTGCATCTTGTATATACATTTTTCTAATTTGGGGAGGGGAAGGGAAATAACAAAATGCTGAAACAAGGATATGGGTTGACAATGAGATGTACAAGACACTATGTTGAAAAGGAACTTTACAACTTGGGGTCTGGGGAGGGAGGAATTGGGGAGGTAGGGAGGGAAGGGATGGTAGGGGAAAAACAAAGGAGGGGGTAACAATGCTCCATAGGAAATGTACTCATTACCTTACTCATGTAACTGTAACCCCTCTGTACAGTATCTTTACAAATATATATATATATATATATATATATATATATGTACACACACACACACACACACACACACACACACACACATGCTCAGGGACAGTGCCCAGGCCCTGAGTTCAAGCCCCATGACTCACAAAACAAAAGAAAACCCTCCTGCTCAGGGCCTCAGACATTCCAGATCAGCTAGAAGTTGGGGCAGAAAGTATAGAAATGAAGTATGGTCTGGCTTCTGAATGGAACCCCCCTACCCTAGTCACATTTCATTGCAAAAACATGAACCAACATTGTTTGCACAAAGGGAAGCTGGATATAGACATTGTCTGTACAACGATACATGATGGGGGGGACATGTTTCAGAGGACAGTGCACTGCTGGCTCTGCCACACAGGGTCTCTCTAGACAGATATGGTTGATGTTGAATGCATTGACCATTCAATCATGTCCCCGGCTTGTGGGCCGTTCACTCCCTGAATCTAGCTTTGCTCATTCTGTTCCTTTCTCCTTAATCTCCAAATTTAGTCCTTTTATCTCCAACTAAGGCCTACTTCCTACAAGGCCTTTTGCTGCATTTCTCACCTAGGCCACATCTGGCCTCTTAAGCTTATGGCACTTTGTCTTGTCCCATGGCAGTGCTTGATAGTTTGTACATCATGAAATGGGTCTATTTTTTTTTTTTGTCTTGCTAGATGTCCTCTCATTCTCCAAGCATATCTGCTTTCTCTCCTACCTTCTGCCACCCCTCTGCAGAGCCACAGGCCCTCAGCATCCCCTGGTGATACTTGATGTCCTCAGAGCCACAGGTCAGGACAGTGATGCTAACCTCCCTAGGCTCACGAG